TATTCCTATAGTTTATATACATCAGAGAAAACACAGCAAACATTCCACCTAAATCCTTCCACTGGTGAAATTACAGTCAAAGGAATGTTAAACTATGAGGACTTCAGGATTTTTGACATGGAAGTTATAGCTACTGACCATGGAGCCAATAGTTTATCAGGACAATGTACCATAAAGATTCTGGTTGAAGACATGAATGACAACCATCCAGAAATTTCTGTTAAATCATTTCAGAGTCCAGTGAAGGAGAACATAGAAGTGGACACAGTGATAGCTGTGGTTAGTGTCAGTGATAAGGACTCTGGTGATAATGGAGAAGTTGATCTTTATATTCCACATAATATGCCTTTTAAATTGAGAAAATCTTCTGATAACTATTTTGAACTGGTGGTGTCAGAGCCATTAGACCGTGAGAAAGTTCCAGAATATGACATAACGTTCACTGTTAAAGACAGAGGTTCTCCTCCTTTATCTGACAATGTAACTATGACCTTAGAGCTGCTGGATGTTAATGACAATGTCCCCAAATTCCCTCAGTCATTTTATAAAATCCGTGTCATGGAGAACAACGCACCTATGGCTCTGCTCAGTTCACTGACAGCCTTTGACCCTGACCTCCATGAAAACCAGTATCTGGTTTACTTCATCATAGAGAAGGAGATAGCCAACACCTCCATGTCCATGCTGTTCTCCATCAATCCAGAGAATGGTGATCTGTACGCTCTGAAAACCTTTGATTATGAGATTGAGAAGGAGTTTCTTTTCCACATTGAGGCCAGAGACTCTGGCTCTCCTCCACTCAGCAGTAATGTGACTGTACACATCATCATAGTGGACCAGAACGACAATGCTCCAGTTATTGTGTCTCCGTGGCGTGCACATGGCTCTGTGGTGGAGGAAAAGATTCCCAGATCCACTGATAAAGGTTCTCTGGTGGCCAAAGTGATCGCTTTAGACACAGACTCTGTGCACAACTCTAGGATTACCTACCAGTTCCTACAGGTGACTGATGCCACCTTGTTCAGTCTGGACCAGTACAATGGGGAGATCCGGACCATGAGGATGTTCAGTTACAGAGATCCACGTCATCTGAGACTGGTGGTCGTTGCCAAGGACAACGGGGAGCCTGCTCTGTCTGCTACAGTCACCATCAAGCTGTCCACAGTGGAGACTGCAGTTAAGGCCTACACTGACATGACTGAGGTTCCTCTGGAGTCTGACCTCTTCTCAACCCTGAACCTGTACTTGGTCATTGGTCTGGGCTCTGTGTCATTTCTCCTTCTCATCACCATTCTGGTCACCATTGTGCTCAAGTGTCAGAAACCTAAGAGCAGCCAAACAGCTCCTCCCAGCAGGAACAGTGTGATCAGTGAGAGGAACTCCACCATCGCAGATTCCACTCTGGTCTCCAACGATGCCTACTGGTACAGTCTGTTTCTGGCAGAGACCAGGAAAGGAAAGCTGGTGGTGAGACAGCCTGTGCCGAAGGGCTCCAGATACATTGTGTCCAGTATCCCGAGAGGAACAGGAGTGACAGATACTAGTGACTCAGCTGCTTCCACGCTGCAGGTAAGAGTAAAAGATCTCAAAAAAAAACATTTTTATTCCTATATTCTAAATTATTGTATTTTCACAATTTGATTTTAGTTTTGCTTTTTAAACATTTCATAAATCAGGTCATAATTTAATCTCTTACACCTCAACTCTTATTTTCTTCTATTTCTAATTCCCTTGCCATTAATATTTCTTTAAAACTCAACATAGCTGAAATTGTATTAATTAGCTGAAGGGTGGCGCTGTTGTTTCATGGAAGTGAGTGTATGAGCACCACGACACCATTGTCGTCACGGAGTCTTGACTTGGTCGGATAGCTCCGTGCTGCTGAAACGCCGTTGTTGGAAAAAAAAAAAAAAGGAAAGCTCACGAATTAATTGGGAGACACATTAAACGTCCACGTTATTGGAAAGCTTTCATGGACCCAAAGAAAATCTCAACGTTATCTGACAAATAAAGCGAAAACAGACTGCATTACGAGGAACACGCTCAAAACAAAGAGATTCTCTGCAACAATGGATTTATGCACAAGGTACGTGCTGTTTGTAGCTGCTTTTTTCTCTTTAATTCACAACATCTCCTCATCGGTGTCGCACTTTTCCATTCCCGAGGAAATGAAAGAAGGTTCAGTTGTAGCGAACCTAGCTACCGATCTCGGACTGGATGTAAAAACGTTGACTCAGAGGAAGATGCGGGTAGACATCATCGCTAACAAAAAATATCTGGACGTGAACAAAGAGACTGGTGACCTGTACATTGTTGAGAAGATTGACCGAGAATATATTTGTCCTGCAAAATCTAGAGAATATATTTGTTCTGCTGCAAAATCGTCTTGCTATCTTAGGTTGGAGGTGACACTAGAAAGCCCACTGCGAATATTTAACATAGAGGTAGAAATTTTGGATATCAACGACAACGCCCCGCAGTTTCGTAGGGACGCTATACACTTAGATATTTCAGAAGCCGCGCCTAAAGGAGAGAGATTTTCTCTCAGTAATGCGGTTGATGCTGACGTAGGAAGCAATTCTGTAAAAACATATCATCTGAGTGAAAGTGAATATTTTAATATTGAGGTGCAGACTGGGAGAGAGGGGTCAAAGTTCGCTGATTTGATATTGATGAAAGGGTTGGACCGGGAGAGGCAGGCTGTTCACAATTTGATACTTACAGCAGTAGATGGAGGAACACCTGCACGTTCCAGTACAGCCAGTGTTATTGTCCATGTGCTTGATACCAATGACAATGCACCGGTATTTGAGGAAACGGTATTAAATGTTAAAATAACAGAAAACTCACCAATAGGAAGTCTGGTTATTGATCTTAATGCAGTGGATTTGGATGAAGGATCAAACTCTGATATAACGTATTCCTATAGTTTATATACATCAGAGAAAACACAGCAAACATTCCACCTAAATCCTTCCACTGGTGAAATTACAGTCAAAGGAATGTTAAACTATGAGGACTTCAGGATTTTTGACATGGAAGTTATAGCTACTGACCATGGAGCCAATAGTTTATCAGGACAATGTACCATAAAGATTCTGGTTGAAGACATGAATGACAACCATCCAGAAATTTCTGTTAAATCATTTCAGAGTCCAGTGAAGGAGAACATAGAAGTGGACACAGTGATAGCTGTAGTTAGTGTCAGTGATAAAGACTCTGGTGATAATGGAGAAGTTGATCTTTATATTCCACATAATATGCCTTTTGAATTGAGAAAATCTTCTGATAACTATTTTGAAGTGGTAGTGTCAGAGCCATTAGACCGTGAGAAAGTTCCAGAATATGACATAACGTTCACTGTTAAAGACAGAGGTTCTCCTCCTTTATCTGACAATGTAACTATGACCTTAGAGCTGCTGGATGTTAATGACAATGTCCCCAAATTCCCTCAGTCACTTTATAAAATCCGTGTCTTGGAGAACAATGCACCTGGGGCTCTGCTCAGTTCACTGACAGCCTTTGACCCTGACCTCCATGAAAACCAGTATCTGGTTTACTTCATCATAGAGAAGGAGATAGCCAACACCTCCATGTCCATGCTGTTCTCCATCAATCCAGAGAATGGTGATCTGTACGCTCTGAAAACCTTTGATTATGAGATTGAGAAGGAGTTTCTTTTCCACATTGAGGCCAGAGACTCTGGCTCTCCTCCACTCAGCAGTAATGTGACTGTACACATCATCATAGTGGACCAGAACGACAATGCTCCAGTTATTGTGTCTCCGTGGCGTGCACATGGCTCTGTGGTGGAGGAAAAGATTCTATTCCTATAGTTTATATACATCAGAGAAAACACAGCAAACATTCCACCTAAATCCTTCCACTGGTGAAATTACAGTCAAAGGAATGTTAAACTATGAGGACTTCAGGATTTTTGACATGGAAGTTATAGCTACTGACCATGGAGCCAATAGTTTATCAGGACAATGTACCATAAAGATTCTGGTTGAAGACATGAATGACAACCATCCAGAAATTTCTGTTAAATCATTTCAGAGTCCAGTGAAGGAGAACATAGAAGTGGACACAGTGATAGCTGTGGTTAGTGTCAGTGATAAGGACTCTGGTGATAATGGAGAAGTTGATCTTTATATTCCACATAATATGCCTTTTAAATTGAGAAAATCTTCTGATAACTATTTTGAACTGGTGGTGTCAGAGCCATTAGACCGTGAGAAAGTTCCAGAATATGACATAACGTTCACTGTTAAAGACAGAGGTTCTCCTCCTTTATCTGACAATGTAACTATGACCTTAGAGCTGCTGGATGTTAATGACAATGTCCCCAAATTCCCTCAGTCATTTTATAAAATCCGTGTCATGGAGAACAACGCACCTATGGCTCTGCTCAGTTCACTGACAGCCTTTGACCCTGACCTCCATGAAAACCAGTATCTGGTTTACTTCATCATAGAGAAGGAGATAGCCAACACCTCCATGTCCATGCTGTTCTCCATCAATCCAGAGAATGGTGATCTGTACGCTCTGAAAACCTTTGATTATGAGATTGAGAAGGAGTTTCTTTTCCACATTGAGGCCAGAGACTCTGGCTCTCCTCCACTCAGCAGTAATGTGACTGTACACATCATCATAGTGGACCAGAACGACAATGCTCCAGTTATTGTGTCTCCGTGGCGTGCACATGGCTCTGTGGTGGAGGAAAAGATTCCCAGATCCACTGATAAAGGTTCTCTGGTGGCCAAAGTGATCGCTTTAGACACAGACTCTGTGCACAACTCTAGGATTACCTACCAGTTCCTACAGGTGACTGATGCCACCTTGTTCAGTCTGGACCAGTACAATGGGGAGATCCGGACCATGAGGATGTTCAGTTACAGAGATCCACGTCATCTGAGACTGGTGGTCGTTGCCAAGGACAACGGGGAGCCTGCTCTGTCTGCTACAGTCACCATCAAGCTGTCCACAGTGGAGACTGCAGTTAAGGCCTACACTGACATGACTGAGGTTCCTCTGGAGTCTGACCTCTTCTCAACCCTGAACCTGTACTTGGTCATTGGTCTGGGCTCTGTGTCATTTCTCCTTCTCATCACCATTCTGGTCACCATTGTGCTCAAGTGTCAGAAACCTAAGAGCAGCCAAACAGCTCCTCCCAGCAGGAACAGTGTGATCAGTGAGAGGAACTCCACCATCGCAGATTCCACTCTGGTCTCCAACGATGCCTACTGGTACAGTCTGTTTCTGGCAGAGACCAGGAAAGGAAAGCTGGTGGTGAGACAGCCTGTGCCGAAGGGCTCCAGATACATTGTGTCCAGTATCCCGAGAGGAACAGGAGTGACAGATACTAGTGACTCAGCTGCCTCTACTCTGCAGGTAGGAACAAGCCCTCACTTTAATCTTTCTAGACACGTTTATTGTCATATAGATCTTTTTTTCTCAAACCTTGTATTGTTGTGAAAAAAAAAGAGAATAAGAAAAAAACATTTTTTAAAGAGTGAAGTCCTATTTATACTTACTTTTTCAAAATTATGAAGTATTGAGTTACATCTGATCAAATGCAGCCAGAGATCTACCGCATTTGTAGTGGTGGCGCTATTCCCTGCATAAAACCCGGCATAAATGACGTTATGACAGTGAACCTCGTTCATGCATCGGATTGGATGAAACGGTCAGTTCCATGGTGCTGAAAGACCAACACGCAGATGGAAACAGGTTTAATCTTTAAATTACCGTCTGTATAAATTTAAATATGTGTGTGCGGGATTAGGACTGATATATTTAGTATCGCTGGGATCTTACGGTAAAAGACTGAGCTGAATACAAGGAATTCAAATTTTTTTCGGTCAGCAATGGAGTCGAGCAGGACGTATTTTCTCGTTTTGTTTTTTCTGTCTTTTGTTCGCAACATTTCGGCTTCAGTGACGCATTATTCAATTCCGGAGGAGATGAAAGAAGGATCCGTTGTGGCTAACCTCGCTACTGATCTCGGACTGGATGTGAAGACACTGGATCAGAGGAAGATGCGTCTTGATATCATCGCGAACAAGAAATACATGGACGTGAACAAAGAGACTGGTGAACTGTTCATCATCGAGAAGATAGACAGGGAATATATTTGCACTACCAAGTCATCCTATTCGTGCTATCTTCGATTGGAGGCGATACTAGAGAACCCAGTGCGAATATTTAACATAGAAGTAGAAATACTAGATATTAACGACAACGCCCCGCAGTTTCGCAGGGACACCATACATTTAGACATTTCTGAGGCGGCGCCTAAAGGAGAGAGATTCTCACTGAGTAATGCAGTCGATCCTGACGTAGGAAGTAACTCTGTAAAAACATACTATTTGAGTGAAAGTGAGTATTTTAACATTGAATCACAGACAGGGGGAGAAGGAACTAAGTTTGCAGATCTAATATTAAAAAAGACGTTAGATCGAGAGGAGCAGGAGGTTCATAAACTAACTCTCACTGCCGTGGATGGAGGCACACCAGCTCGTTCAGGTACTGCCAGTGTTATTGTCCGTGTGTTAGATACAAATGATAATGCTCCTGTATTTAATGAATCGGTTTTAAATGTGAAGATAATGGAAAACTCACCAATAGGAAGTCTGGTTATTGATCTTAATGCAGTGGATTTGGATGAAGGATCAAACTCTGATATAACTTATTCCTATAGTTTATATACATCAGAGAAAACACAGCAAACATTTCACCTAAATCCTTCCACTGGTGAAATTACAGTCAAAGGAATGTTAAACTATGAGGACTTCAGGATTTTTGACATGGAAGTTATAGCTACTGACCATGGAGCCAATAGTTTATCAGGACAATGTACCATAAAGATTCTGGTTGAAGACATGAATGACAACCATCCAGAAATTTCTGTTAAATCATTTCAGAGTCCAGTGAAGGAGAACATAGAAGTGGACACAGTGATAGCTGTAGTTAGTGTCAGTGATAAAGACTCTGGTGATAATGGAGAAGTTGATCTTTATATTCCACATAATATGCCTTTTAAATTGAGAAAATCTTCTGATAACTATTTTGAACTGGTGGTGTCAGAGCCATTAGACCGTGAGAAAGTTCCAGAATATGACATAACGTTCACTGTTAAAGACAGAGGTTCTCCTCCTTTATCTGACAATGTAACTATGACCTTAGAGCTGCTGGATGTTAATGACAATGTCCCCAAATTCCCTCAGTCATTTTATAAAATCCGTGTCATGGAGAACAACGCACCTATGGCTCTGCTCAGTTCACTGACAGCCTTTGACCCTGACCTCCATGAAAACCAGTATCTGGTTTACTTCATCATAGAGAAGGAGATAGCCAACACCTCCATGTCCATGCTGTTCTCCATCAATCCAGAGAATGGTGATCTGTACGCTCTGAAAACCTTTGATTATGAGATTGAGAAGGAGTTTCTTTTCCACATTGAGGCCAGAGACTCTGGCTCTCCTCCACTCAGCAGTAATGTGACTGTACACATCATCATAGTGGACCAGAACGACAATGCTCCAGTTATTGTGTCTCCGTGGCGTGCACATGGCTCTGTGGTGGAGGAAAAGATTCCCAGATCCACTGATAAAGGTTCTCTGGTGGCCAAAGTGATCGCTTTAGACACAGACTCTGTGCACAACTCTAGGATTACCTACCAGTTCCTACAGGTGACTGATGCCACCTTGTTCAGTCTGGACCAGTACAATGGGGAGATCCGGACCATGAGGATGTTCAGTTACAGAGATCCACGTCATCTGAGACTGGTGGTCGTTGCCAAGGACAACGGGGAGCCTGCTCTGTCTGCTACAGTCACCATCAAGCTGTCCACAGTGGAGACTGCAGTTAAGGCCTACACTGACATGACTGAGGTTCCTCTGGAGTCTGACCTCTTCTCAACCCTGAACCTGTACTTGGTCATTGGTCTGGGCTCTGTGTCATTTCTCCTTCTCATCACCATTCTGGTCACCATTGTGCTCAAGTGTCAGAAACCTAAGAGCAGCCAAACAGCTCCTCCCAGCAGGAACAGTGTGATCAGTGAGAGGAACTCCACCATCGCAGATTCCACTCTGGTCTCCAACGATGCCTACTGGTACAGTCTGTTTCTGGCAGAGACCAGGAAAGGAAAGCTGGTGGTGAGACAGCCTGTGCCGAAGGGCTCCAGATACATTGTGTCCAGTATCCCGAGAGGAACAGGAGTGACAGATACTAGTGACTCAGCTGCTTCCACACTGCAGGTATGAGAAGAAATGTTCTTAAGATTAATTTTACACTACTACTAAAATGTAATCAATTTATTTCTCCCCTCATTGCTAACAGTTTTCACAGCCTGACTGATACCCAGAAATGTTTTTTTCACTTTATTCTTAGAATGTTCATAAATTTGCAACCAACAATGAGTCATATATTTTGACACAATTACTTAATTTAACAAACTTGCAAAATTATGCCTACATCCAAATACACACAAATACCTCCTCGATTTTTAGTGTTGTTTAAGTAGAATTTATATAAAATAATTTGTTAAATATACAAGTTGTTTCTTCACTACCTAAATGTTACTGTTTATTTTGGACCTTTTTTTTTCATTTACCTTTCAAGGACTCAAGGAATGTCTCCATTAATAGTGGAAAATTCAAATTGATTGATTGATTTAAGTCTTTTTCGAATATGAAAATTAATGAAAAAAAAGGAATACATACTGAGTATTGACAAAAATAGAATGCATATTCAAAAAGCAGTGGGAAGAACGAATAGCAGTCTTTCTTTGAAACCCGTGTAGACACTCATACACACATACGTATAGATACCAATAACACACATTCAGTACTCTATACACGCCTGCCCATATATACAAACATGCCGTGCTACCTGACACCTAACAAATAGTTAAATAGTAAAAAAATAGCCTCACATATGAGTAGAATTATCCTACTTAGTAAATGCTTTTTATTGTTTTAAAGTACTAACACTGCGTTAAATGAAAAAGCAGGACTGAAACAGAATGCCGTCAGTACATGTTGCTTGTATATAAAAAAACCTCTTAAATATGTAATGTAAACGAAACAAACAAAATGTTAAAGTAGAAATATTATTAATATAATAATAATAATAATTATTATTGTTGTGCATGGTAATAATTAACTGATTATAACAACAACAACAACAACAACAACAATACTACTACTAATAATAATAACAATAATAATGAACGTTAATGCTGTTATTATTATTATACTTCGGATTCGTTAAGATACTCAATGTGTTAGTATTTTAGGCTCGACATTATCTCATAACGATTCAATTCAACTTTACAAACGCCATCGACAGTCTGATTTTTGTTCTTTTCGTTTTTTTTTTACTACATTGTTTATAATCTATCTTGAGTCGAGCACAATAAAATGGTTTGTTTATCAATAATTGAAAACAGAACATTTTTGTCGCTGATTCCCGTAAAAACCTACCCACCCGTGAGGTCATTGTTTTGAAGATCGTTTATTGGAGGAATGTGAGATACTCTTAAGACGCGTCACTTCCTCTTTGGATGCAGACCTTGTTTCTGTGAAGTTATTCGGATTTTTCGCTCATTAAACGAGGACGTGATTAGTCGCAGAGTTGACAACTTCACAGGCTGTGAACACCGGAGCACCACCATGACGCAGGCTTTGGCACAGCTGACCGGAGGACGGTGCGTTCCCGTATTTATTTGTCTTTTTGCCATGATGAACACGGGCACAAGCGTCACCCATTATTCTGTTCCAGAAGAAATGGAGGAAGGATCTGTCGTCGCAAATTTGGCGACTGATTTGGGATTGGATGTCCAGACGCTGAGTGGAAGACAAATGCGCATTGATGTGGTGGCCAATAAGAAATACCTGGACATCAACAGGAGCACTGGGGAGTTGTACATTTCAGAGAGGATCGACAGGGAGTTGTTATGCCCATTGAAAACAACAACATATTGTTTTTTAAAATTGGACGCGACGATTGAAAACCCGATACGTATGTTTAACATTGAGGTGGAAATCATTGACATCAACGACAACGCTCCACATTTCCGCAGAGGAACGATGCATCTGGACATCTCTGAGTCAAGCCCCATCGGGGAGAGGTTCTCACTGAATAACGCAGCGGATCCAGATGTCGGAAGTAATTCTGTGAAAAATTACCATCTGAGCTCGAGTGAATATTTTGCCATTGAAATTCAGACGGGAAGAGATGGGACGAAGTTCGCTGATTTGGTGCTTAAAAAACCCTTAGACAGAGAGCAGCAGTCGGTTCATAACCTGGTACTGACTGCTGTGGATGGTGGAACTCCTACACGCACAGGTACAGCCAGCATCGTGGTCCGTGTGCTGGACGTGAACGACAACGCCCCGTCGTTTGACAAAGACAGATACGTGGTCCAGGTGATGGAGAACTCCCCGATAGGAAGTTTAGTTCTAAAACTCAGCGCCACTGATTTAGATGAAGGCTCCAATTCTGATATAGTTTATTCCTATAGTTTGTATACTTCAGAGAGAACACAGAACATGTTTAATCTGAATCCAGAAAACGGTGAAGTTACAGTCAAAGAAATGATTAATTATGAAGAAGATAAACTTTATGAACTAGAAGTTGTTGCTAGTGATAAAGGACAAGTCTCTTTAACTGGACAGTGTAAAGTGACTATCCAAGTGAGTGATATGAATGATCCAGAAATTTCTGTTAAATCATTTCAGAGTCCAGTGAAGGAGAACATAGAAGTGGACACAGTGATAGCTGTGGTTAGTGTCAGTGATAAGGACTCTGGTGATAATGGAGAAGTTGATCTTTATATTCCACATAATATGCCTTTTAGGCTCAGAGAGTCGTCTGACAACTACTATGAACTATTGGTGTCAGAACAAATGGACCGTGAGAAAATTCCAGAATATGACATAACGTTCACTGTTAAAGACAGAGGTTCTCCTCCTTTATCTGACAATGTAACTATGACCTTAGAGCTGCTGGATGTTAATGACAATGTCCCCAAATTCCCTCAGTCATTTTATAAAATCCGTGTCATGGAGAACAACGCACCTATGGCTCTGCTCAGTTCACTGACAGCCTTTGACCCTGACCTCCATGAAAACCAGTATCTGGTTTACTTCATCATAGAGAAGGAGATAGCCAACACCTCCATGTCCATGCTGTTCTCCATCAATCCAGAGAATGGTGATCTGTACGCTCTGAAAACCTTTGATTATGAGATTGAGAAGGAGTTTCTTTTCCACATTGAGGCCAGAGACTCTGGCTCTCCTCCACTCAGCAGTAATGTGACTGTACACATCATCATAGTGGACCAGAACGACAATGCTCCAGTTATTGTGTCTCCGTGGCGTGCACATGGCTCTGTGGTGGAGGAAAAGATTCCCAGATCCACTGATAAAGGTTCTCTGGTGGCCAAAGTGATCGCTTTAGACACAGACTCTGTGCACAACTCTAGGATTACCTACCAGTTCCTACAGGTGACTGATGCCACCTTGTTCAGTCTGGACCAGTACAATGGGGAGATCCGGACCATGAGGATGTTCAGTTACAGAGATCCACGTCATCTGAGACTGGTGGTCGTTGCCAAGGACAACGGGGAGCCTGCTCTGTCTGCTACAGTCACCATCAAGCTGTCCACAGTGGAGACTGCAGTTAAGGCCTACACTGACATGACTGAGGTTCCTCTGGAGTCTGACCTCTTCTCAACCCTGAACCTGTACTTGGTCATTGGTCTGGGCTCTGTGTCATTTCTCCTTCTCATCACCATTCTGGTCACCATTGTGCTCAAGTGTCAGAAACCTAAGAGCAGCCAAACAGCTCCTCCCAGCAGGAACAGTGTGATCAGTGAGAGGAACTCCACCATCGCAGATTCCACTCTGGTCTCCAACGATGCCTACTGGTACAGTCTGTTTCTGGCAGAGACCAGGAAAGGAAAGCTGGTGGTGAGACAGCCTGTGCCGAAGGGCTCCAGATACATTGTGTCCAGTATCCCGAGAGGAACAGGAGTGACAGATACTAGTGACTCAGCTGCTTCCACACTGCAGGTATGAGAAGAAATGTTCTTAAGATTAATTTTACACTACTACTAAAATGTAATCAATTTATTTCTCCCCTCATTGCTAACAGTTTTCACAGCCTGACTGATACCCAGAAATGTTTTTTTCACTTTATTCTTAGAATGTTCATAAATTTGCAACCAACAATGAGTCATATATTTTGACACAATTACTTAATTTAACAAACTTGCAAAATTATGCCTACATCCAAATACACACAAATACCTCCTCGATTTTTAGTGTTGTTTAAGTAGAATTTATATAAAATAATTTGTTAAATATACAAGTTGTTTCTTCACTACCTAAATGTTACTGTTTATTTTGGACCTTTTTTTTTCATTTACCTTTCAAGGACTCAAGGAATGTCTCCATTAATAGTGGAAAATTCAAATTGATTGATTGATTTAAGTCTTTTTCGAATATGAAAATTAATGAAAAAAAAGGAATACATACTGAGTATTGACAAAAATAGAATGCATATTCAAAAAGCAGTGGGAAGAACGAATAGCAGTCTTTCTTTGAAACCCGTGTAGACACTCATACACACATACGTATAGATACCAATAACACACATTCAGTACTCTATACACGCCTGCCCATATATACAAACATGCCGTGCTACCTGACACCTAACAAATAGTTAAATAGTAAAAAAATAGCCTCACATATGAGTAGAATTATCCTACTTAGTAAATGCTTTTTATTGTTTTAAAGTACTAACACTGCGTTAAATGAAAAAGCAGGACTGAAACAGAATGCCGTCAGTACATGTTGCTTGTATATAAAAAAACCTCTTAAATATGTAATGTAAACGAAACAAACAAAATGTTAAAGTAGAAATATTATTAATATAATAATAATAATAATTATTATTGTTGTGCATGGTAATAATTAACTGATTATAACAACAACAACAACAACAATACTACTACTAATAATAATAACAATAATAATGAACGTTAATGCTGTTATTATTATTATACTTCGGATTCGTTAAGATACTCAATGTGTTAGTATTTTAGGCTCGACATTATCTCATAACGATTCAATTCAACTTTACAAACGCCATCGACAGTCTGATTTTTGTTCTTTTCGTTTTTTTTTTACTACATTGTTTATAATCTATCTTGAGTCGAGCACAATAAAATGGTTTGTTTATCAATAATTGAAAACAGAACATTTTTGTCGCTGATTCCCGTAAAAACCTACCCACCCGTGAGGTCATTGTTTTGAAGATCGTTTATTGGAGGAATGTGAGATACTCTTAAGACGCGTCACTTCCTCTTTGGATGCAGACCTTGTTTCTGTGAAGTTATTCGGATTTTTCGCTCATTAAACGAGGACGTGATTAGTCGCAGAGTTGACAACTTCACAGGCTGTGAACACCGGAGCACCACCATGACGCAGGCTTTGGCACAGCTGACCGGAGGACGGTGCGTTCCCGTATTTATTTGTCTTTTTGCCATGATGAACACGGGCACAAGCGTCACCCATTATTCTGTTCCAGAAGAAATGGAGGAAGGATCTGTCGTCGCAAATTTGGCGACTGATTTGGGATTGGATGTCCAGACGCTGAGTGGAAGACAAATGCGCATTGATGTGGTGGCCAATAAGAAATACCTGGACATCAACAGGAGCACTGGGGAGTTGTACATTTCAGAGAGGATCGACAGGGAGTTGTTATGCCCATTGAAAACAACAACATATTGTTTTTTAAAATTGGACGCGACGATTGAAAACCCGATACGTATGTTTAACATTGAGGTGGAAATCATTGACATCAACGACAACGCTCCACATTTCCGCAGAGAAACGATGCATCTGGACATCTCTGAGTCAAGCCCCATCGGGGAGAGGTTCTCACTGAATAACGCAGCGGATCCAGATGTCGGAAGTAATTCTGTGAAAAATTATCACCTGAGCTCGAGTGATCATTTTGAACTTGAAATTCAAACCGGTAGAGACGGATCAAAGTTCGCTGATTTGATCCTAATTAAACCCTTAGACAGAGAGCAGCAGTCGGTTCATAACCTGATACTGACTGCTGTGGATGGTGGAACTCCTACACGCACAGGTACAGCCAGCATCGTGGTCCGTGTGCTGGACGTGAACGACAACGCCCCGTCGTTTGATATTCCTATAGTTTATATACATCAGAGAAAACACAGCAAACATTCCACCTAAATCCTTCCACTGGTGAAATTACAGTCAAAGGAATGTTAAACTATGAGGACTTCAGGATTTTTGACATGGAAGTTATAGCTACTGACCATGGAGCCAATAGTTTATCAGGACAATGTACCATAAAGATTCTGGTTGAAGACATGAATGACAACCATCCAGAAATTTCTGTTAAATCATTTCAGAGTCCAGTGAAGGAGAACATAGAAGTGGACACAGTGATAGCTGTGGTTAGTGTCAGTGATAAGGACTCTGGTGATAATGGAGAAGTTGATCTTTATATTCCACATAATATGCCTTTTAAATTGAGAAAATCTTCTGATAACTATTTTGAACTGGTGGTGTCAGAGCCATTAGACCGTGAGAAAGTTCCAGAATATGACATAACGTTCACTGTTAAAGACAGAGGTTCTCCTCCTTTATCTGACAATGTAACTATGACCTTAGAGCTGCTGGATGTTAATGACAATGTCCCCAAATTCCCTCAGTCATTTTATAAAATCCGTGTCATGGAGAACAACGCACCTATGGCTCTGCTCAGTTCACTGACAGCCTTTGACCCTGACCTCCATGAAAACCAGTATCTGGTTTACTTCATCATAGAGAAGGAGATAGCCAACACCTCCATGTCCATGCTGTTCTCCATCAATCCAGAGAATGGTGATCTGTACGCTCTGAAAACCTTTGATTATGAGATTGAGAAGGAGTTTCTTTTCCACATTGAGGCCAGAGACTCTGGCTCTCCTCCACTCAGCAGTAATGTGACTGTACACATCATCATAGTGGACCAGAACGACAATGCTCCAGTTATTGTGTCTCCGTGGCGTGCACATGGCTCTGTGGTGGAGGAAAAGATTCCCAGATCCACTGATAAAGGTTCTCTGGTGGCCAAAGTGATCGCTTTAGACACAGACTCTGTGCACAACTCTAGGATTACCTACCAGTTCCTACAGGTGACTGATGCCACCTTGTTCAGTCTGGACCAGTACAATGGGGAGATCCGGACCATGAGGATGTTCAGTTACAGAGATCCACGTCATCTGAGACTGGTGGTCGTTGCCAAGGACAACGGGGAGCCTGCTCTGTCTGCTACAGTCACCATCAAGCTGTCCACAGTGGAGACTGCAGTTAAGGCCTACACTGACATGACTGAGGTTCCTCTGGAGTCTGACCTCTTCTCAACCCTGAACCTGTACTTGGTCATTGGTCTGGGCTCTGTGTCATTTCTCCTTCTCATCACCATTCTGGTCACCATTGTGCTCAAGTGTCAGAAACCTAAGAGCAGCCAAACAGCTCCTCCCAGCAGGAACAGTGTGATCAGTGAGAGGAACTCCACCATCGCAGATTCCACTCTGGTCTCCAACGATGCCTACTGGTACAGTCTGTTTCTGGCAGAGACCAGGAAAGGAAAGCTGGTGGTGAGACAGCCTGTGCCGAAGGGCTCCAGGTACATTGTGTCCAGTATCCCAAGAGGAACAGGAGTGACAGATACTAGTGACTCAGCTGCCTCTACTCTGCAGGTACAAAATGTGGCTTAGAGCAGTGAATTCAGAAGAAGATAACAAATATCAAGATAAAATTTTAATCTTCAGAAATTCTATCTATCTATCTATCTATCTATCTATCTATCTATCTAATCTATCTATCTAATCAGTGCGTAAGTGTCAGTGTGTCTCAGGAAACAAACAAAGCCGTCACTGTGGGATCCGGAAGTTCCTCACAACCTAGAAATTGTATAAATAAAACAACAAAAAACAATGATTAAGAAAACCAGTATCAGAAGTAAGGGAGACACATGGTTTGGTGCCCTCAGGTCACAAAAAAGAAAAGCAGGAAAAAAGTTTTTCTATATCCCTCCCCTTTACTAACTAGGTAAGTATACTGCTGGGTTATCACTGTGTACTTGTGACTTTTGAAACTCTAACATACTCTTTCTTTTATGGATTAACTTGGTATAAAATACTTTTTACAAGGCTGCTTCCCTTCATGTTTACTCGTGTTAAAGATGCTTCATATAAACCATAACAACATACAAATAACCATTTCCCCATCACTGCACTGACATGACTTTTAAAATGCTTGTTTTTTTCTTTCCCCTCTAAAGTACCCTAAATGAGGGGAGTCCATTCTGCAGTTGGAGGTATGCAGGATTCTCACTACCATGTCCAAAATGCCCTTGACATTATTTGAAATGTTTGTGAATCTTTTTTATGTTGATGTTTCATTTACTCTTTTGTCTTGCCTGCTTTGTTTTGGGAAAAAAGGCATTTTTAGATTGTACATTTGATTTAAACAAAGTCCTTCTCTTTGGCCTTTGTTATTCTGATATATGCCGACTGTAAAAACAAAACTGTAAATTATTGTGATAAATACCATATTTGTTTTTTTAGATATAAGTTTGAACTTCATATCTGTGTTGTCTCAGCAGCATTACACACATAATCAGCCTCTGATCTGTGCTGAAACAAACCCAAAGACTGAAGATATATTTTTACTTTTCCGAGTTAATGCCACACAGTCACACAGTAAACAAATACTTAGTCAATAAAAAAACAAAACAAAAACACTGGTCTTTAACTCATCTAACACCATTAACATCTGAGAGTTTTGCTGTTTTCACAATCAGGCAGTTGCTGGATGGTGAAGAAAACTTTGCTGTCTAACAAAATCACCATGTTCTCAGGATGCTCTGCATGTGGAGATTTGCCCCGCACCATTCCTTGGCCCCCTCACTGACTCATCTCTCCCTTACTATTAATGATCAGATTTTTAAAAACAGACTTTTTTTGAGTGAATGTTGCAAGCATTAACAGAGTGACATGTTTTTTGTTTTCAGATAGTGAATCCCAGTCTCCCAGTAACCTAGAAACCACAATTCCTTCTATAATATTGAAGCATGGTTTTCATTAATTGACTTATTTTTATTATTATTATATGTTTTAGGACCTGTGTGAACTTTTAAACCACTGCTTGATGCCCTTGTTTTGACTTTAACTGCATGAGATTTATAAGGTGCAGGTTGTTTTTTTTTTTTGTTTTCCCTGTTCTGGTTTTCCTTCTAATTCACCAAATTGTCTTGTCTTGTTGGTAGGCATCCACCACCAGCAGCAGCAGCAGCAGCAGCAGCAGTTCAAAATAAGGTCACCTGCCTCCATCTGCATCCTGGATCTTTGCTGACATGATGAGCTTCACAGATGAAAGGAGGAACACCATGTCCCCTGCCCAGTCTTGTCTGTCCAAGTTAGTCCAGTTCCTCTTCTACACAATGTGGAGTTGTCTTGCCTGTGCTTCACGTGGATGACCACATGGTGGAAGGTCAACAGCTGCCCCTCCTCTCCTCAAAGCACATAAAATTAATCAAAAAAAGGCCATTCGATTCATTCAATATGCATGAGACTACTTTCTCCAAGGCTTCACCCACACCTTGAGACGCTTAAAAATGATCAAACAAAAAGGTAATTGCAATGAAGTCGACTGTAAAACTGCACAAAGAGACGATGAGATGTTTAAAGAAGCCACAGAAAGTGAAGGAACTAATGGACCCTGGATTATTGAAATGCCTTTAAGAGACTGATTTCTCTCTCTCTCTCTAAAATTGAGTTAATGGATATTTCATCTCCATCTCTGTGCTTGCTTCATTACAGCATTTATGTATTATATACTGTATACTCTATGTATACAACAGAGAAGAAGTCAAACAGCACAATTGATGTGAGAAAAGCACTACACTTTATGTGTACACTTTAAATCAGTATTTTGTAACGTCGGTCGTCTTTTGTACTTTGTGCTTAACATCTAAGCTAGGCTCAAATAAACAAGTGCTAAGATATTAGTTTGTGTTTACAGTTACTGGACGTAAGCGTAAGGCCAGTTATATACAAGGCCGAAGCATAAGCTATTGTTTATCTAGCATTCTGTTATTTTGCATGTGTTGTGATAGTGTTGGATATTTTAATACCTACTGGTTGTTTTCATGTACACAGCCATTTCTACATTTGTTTTTTTACCAAAAAAGAACATTTTTATTTCTTGGGACCAAAATATGAACTAACACAGCGTGTTTACTGAGAGTAAACAATTATAATAATCTTTCCTTTTCCCAGTTTCATTCATTTCTATAGAAATCATCTATCTTTAGTCAATATTTAGAACAAACAGTTAAGATTTTGTTAATAGTATATATATATATATATAATTTTTGTTTACATATTTCACGGCGTTCCTTTTTAGCAGTTTAATACAATGAACCATTTTCATTACTGACTGTTTAATATTTACCAGCATAAGTAACAATTTGATACTGTATATAACTGACATATGCTTTTACACCCACTGTATCAATGCATTTGCTATTTTATCCGTGCCATATGATGTATATGGTCAAAGTAAGTGTGTGACACAGTAACATTGATAAGACGTGTAGTTAAACTCATTAGCACAGGTTACGTTGCATTACTTGTATACAATGTGATGTGTTCCAGGCAAATAAACAGAAGGCGCTTCTGTATGGTGGCATGAAAACGGTGACGTATGTAACGACCGGTGAAATGTGAGCCTGTATGTTATCTTCTTGTCTGTGTGATATAATAAATACAAAGAGAAAAAAGAAAGTTCTGTGTTTTATTTACATGTAAGAATGAAAATATGTGCTGCACAGAATCATTTTCACTTCATGTGAAATTAGCTGAGGAGCTAAGTAATTCAAATAATATGTAATTTTGTTCAGAATTGTAATCTGATTTAATCCAGTCAAATTTAACCAATGAGAACAATGCCTTTATAACAGGCATTATTAACATTTGAAATAAATTTCATACCTGACAAAGGCCTTTGAGTTCTTTTCACCTAACACAGCTCCTCCACCAACACATCATGATCACATACATGTATGACCTCATCTCCCCAGAGAGGTGAGTGTGTTTGTCCGCATGATATCAGTATAGCTGTGCTTGTGGGTACATTCTTTGGTCCAGACCAGGAAAGAAGACATTTTTAGTTTAATAGTTTTGTTTGGTTAAGAATTTAAGCTATGGTTAAGGTGTGGTTAAGGGGCAAGGAAATTCACTATGTCTATGGGACGTTCACAAATTCACTCATTCAAATTGAACTGTGTATGTGTCTGTGTGTCTGTGTGTGTGTACTGACACACCCCCAAGATGAAAATACAAGTCTGATGTTGTGTATTTGTGTTTCTTTAAATCGTTTGCTTTTAAAATAATTTAAAACTTAGTTTTATGTAAAACATAGTTATAAGGAAATTGCAATATTCAACACTGGGTCGATTGTAGCTCTGTTCTTTGTCTACACAGCATATACTGCTCCTGCATCCTCCTCTTACACCCCGCCCCGTCTGGTTCTTTTCTCCTTCCTCCTGTCTTTAGCACCATGGACAGCGACGTGCGTAATAAAGCAGTGTTGTCATGGCGACGGACAGTCTGTCCTCCCACTGCAACCTACCATTGACATTCACTCACCCCACCCTTTCCCTGTATCCCTACACAGCAGACAACATAAAAGCTGTTCCTGTCGAAACACATCTCATTTTTCAGGGTTGGTCCTGGAGGGAATGCTGGCCTTTAAAGAGAGTTGGGATGAAGGCATGAGAAGCGAAAAGTGTTTCAGACTGCGGCAGCAAAAACGAACGCGCACCTGCAGTATGGATTTGACCTACATTCGAAGCAGATACGTAATCACAGCAGAGGGGAGTGGTGCACAAAATCTCGCGAGATATCAGATCACATTCCTTTCTAACTGTAGTGATCATCATCATTGTATCTTTCTTCCATAAATTGTTATTTTATCTCTTACACTGCATTACTGCAGTGCGGGGCAGATGCTGCAATACAGTCGACACAGTCTGTGCAGGGGCTTCTATTCCACGATGCTTATCGTTATCATGCATTGGAGCAATTGCAGGTTTAGTCCAGGAGATGTCACCATTTACCTCTGGAACTGAAAAGCTGTGGGTGTGTTCAGAGTAGAACGCATACTGTTAAAGAACCTGGAACTTCACCTACTTTATATAATCATCATATACAGCGCATACGTTTTGAATAGTTTTAATATAAAACGACGTGTATATATATGTTATATATGTATATATTAATATGTGTATGTATATACATATATGTATGTGCGTGTGTATATATGTGTGTATATGTGTTTTTCTCTGTGTCTTAAATAAACAGTTTTCTTCAACATCGCTGCAAAATCGTCTGTTTTTTTTATTAAAGAAACATTTTGAACATTAGTTAAAAACTTGTGGTAATTGTTTTGTCTACAACGGTTCTTTTTTGAGGGCAAATTATGTTGATATGGGACTGAAAAGGTGTCGAGCTAAGGTCTTGTATCGATTCGCAGGATCTCTTCCCTGACAATAGGTGGTGCTGTTAAACAATTTTTCCCAC